ATGCAATTGACAGGTATTAATTAATTAATTGCGTTGAATACATTTAATATTAAAATTAAATCCCTTTTTTTTTTTTTCTTTTTTTATATGTATTACTAATATTTAATCTGATAGTATAGGGTATACTAATACTAATAATATAGTAAGTATAGCAAGGGGATAATATACTAATACTAATTAGCAAGTAAACAGGTAAATTTTTTGTCGTTTGTTAAATTTTTTAATAAAAAAAAATTTGTAATACAAATAAATAAAGTAAATAAAATAACAATAATAATAAACAAAACATATAAAATAAACATGAATTCATTATCTCTATCGTTTTTATTTTTCCTCCTTTATTTATTTTATAATAAAAAAAATGCCAAAAAAAAGATTTAATAATGCAAATTACAATAGTATCGACGATGATAGCGATAGTGATTCATTTAAAAGGCTATTTTTTATACTTGTATCATTATTAATAATATTATTATTTTTCATATTCGCTTTCCCGAACTTTGATAAGGATAATACCAAAGGCCCATTAAAGTCTTCAGACTTTCTACCATCTAAAACACGCAATTTAACTCTAATGTCGACATTGTCTTCGGAAATCAGATTAGAAAAAAATTTAATATTTATAGGGGATATTCATGGTTCATTAGACGAGTTGAAATCATTAATTAAAGTCTTGAATTATAATCCTAATTCGGATCATTTGATATTTGTTGGTGATTTAATAATTAAAGGACCAAAGTCAATTGAGGTGTTGAGGTATCTCCAACCTATGGGTGTTAGTGTTGTTAGAGGAAATCATGAAGATAAAGTGTTAAGATGGAAACAATTTTTAGATGATTTGAAGATTGAGGAAGAAGACGAGGAGGAAGTTGTAGATAAAAGATTAAAAGAATATTTTCAAGAAAAAAATTTACCAATTGACGAAGAAATTGTATTTAAATCAGAACACAAATTAGTAGCAACGTAAAGAGAATTTTAAAAAAATTATTCCAAGGTTTATTTTAAAATTTAATTAACATATGTATATACATATATTTTTCATTGTTGATAGGAAACTTGATAGGAAATTACATGATTATATATTATCTTTTCCAATTATTTATGATATTCCTAATCTTGATGTTTACGTTGTACATGGAGGCTTGTTACCAGAAAAATCTTTATGGGATCAAGATCCATTCGATATAATGAACATGGTAAGAAATCTATTCGTTCATTAAATCATAATCTTTTTTAAATTTTTAAATAAATATATTATTAACATGTTCAAAAACAAAAAAAAAAAAAAACGAAAAAATAGAGAAATATAAAAGATGACGGCAAACCAACCAAATCCAAAAAGGAAGGAGTTCCGTGGTCAGGAATTTGGAACAAGGTACAAAAAGAATCTATAAATCCTAAATATATAATTTATGGGCATGTCGCGTCAAGAGGTTTAGATATTAAAAAGTATAGCTTCGGATTGGATTCAGGATGTGTCAAGGGTAGAATGCTGACAGCTTTGAAGTGGAATAAGAATGGTGAGAAAGAGTGGTATAATGTAGAATGTAATCAATATATTGATTAAATAATTAATATATATGTGTATATATACTTATTATTGCATTTTTAATAATATTATTTTCATTATTATTGTATCGTTATTGCTTAATTCATTATTATTGTTATTATTATTATTATTATTATTGTTATTATTGTTACTAAACAGTAATAATAGTATTATCATTGCTTTGATCATTCTTTTTGTTATTATACTCATTCCATGATCTTTAGAAAAAAAAATTTATGGAATGAATGAATCAATATAATCAATAAGAATCAATATAATCAATTAATCAATTATCAATATAATAAAAATTACTTACAAATAAATCATCATAATTTGAGTAATGAATGAATTCATTGGTAAGAGAATATTCCATATTGAATAATATAATATATCTAATCCGTGTACAAATATTAATTCTCTCTTATATAATAGAGAAAAAAATATCAATGCAATAAATTTGGGTATTAAACCAATAATTAGGTTTAACATAAGAATATTCAACTAGGAGAAAAAATTAAATGTGTGTTTGTTAGCTTCAGTATACACATATTAATTAACATATTACACCACCACCTCACTTAACCTACCACCATATAATAATAATACTTACAACTTTTCTAGTAGTTTTTAGTCTCCTAATACTAGGAATATTTTTAGTGGAATCATTTTTATATATACAATTAATATAGCCACTAAGCAAAGAATAAATCTTGGACCAGATGTAAGCGGTTATAAAGATAAACGTAAATCCACGTACAACGTAAATCAGGTAGTGAATAGTGAAGAATAACTCGGCAAATTGTATGTTGTTGATGTCAGCTTCATGACCAGCAAAAGCTGCTAATGGCAATTGTATTGCTATTGGCAAGACCATCAACAATATACCAATAATATCAAGAATCTTAATATCCATTGATTTTTTAGCATAACTGATGTCATCGCCTTCCTTACGAGTTAACTTAAAGTTGTATTGAAATCCACTTGGTGTAGAATATACTTTTTGATTTTATGAGTGAATGAATGAATTAATGAATATATTGCAAATTTAACGAGTGTAATTATTATAAATATTATTATTATTAATCATTACCTAAACTTATGAGATAAAGTATTCCGAGTGAGCTTAGCATTTCATCCGATAAATGATGTACAACTATAATAAAACGATTTATAATTAGCATGTCTTAATATTAACATCAACTCACTATTTAGTAATAATTACGTTACCTTCTGCCCACAAAACGCTGGGATATAATTCCAGTATTAAACAAGTAATGTTAATTGATATAACTATACGTTAATTGATTAATTGATTGATTGATTGTTAAATTAAAGCTTTCATCTTTTAGAAAAAATTTTTTTAATAAACTTACATAAATGATAAAATATTATTAATAAATGATAAGTATGAATTGATCTTGGTCTTAATAGACCCCTGTCTCTTGTCGAAGACAAGAAAAATGATTGCTTCTTGAATTTAATAAGATGAAACAACATTATGGCTGAAATAGTCGTTATTAGAACACAAAATGGTAAATTTATCAAGTTAATCGTTATCCAAAATTTTTCTTGTTGACATTCATAAATATTTACACGGAAATCACACCAACACGTTTCCACAGTATCGGTTTTTTTACAAGCTAGCGTGTAATCATTTATGATTCTAACCATTCTCCAAAGTCTTTTTTTTTTATTTGAAAATTTTGGATATTGCGTTATTACTATATTTTGAGTTATTTGAATTTTCCGTCTCTTTTTATATTATATACAAGTGTTATTTGTCTTCATTAATAAGAAAGACCATTTCTAGTAAATTAAATTTAAAATAAAAATATATTAATTAAGTCATGTGGTAAATTTTTACCCCACTGTTAAAGACTTTGCAAAGACCAATTAAAATAAAAAAAAGATAAAAAAGATCAAAAAATTTATTGTGTATTTTATTTTTCATAATAATTTAAAACGTATTAATATTAAGACAAATATTAGTATGGCAGAAAAACTAACTAACTCAAATTAAAATAATGCTGTACAATCGGGTTTTTATTAATGCATAATTTAATAATGACAAAAACTTAAATGTCTTTTTAATATTATTTATTAACATTTCCATGTTTTATCATCACTTTTTCCGAGAATTTATAATAGTAATTCAAGTAGTGGTTATATCCGTCGGATATCCGACGGATAATACTAAGATAAAGTTACAACGACGAATTTTAAAAACTGACTATTTGTCTACTATTGAAAAAAACAAATAGACGTGTTTATTTGACTGTAGAACAACTTTTACTTTGCATGCAAGGTATATTTATTTATGTAGCGTAAAAAAAAAAAAAAAAACAAAAAAAACAATTATGTTATGAGGAGAAACTTTTTACTTGGTGTACAATTTTGGTCAGCACTAGTTTTACTGTCTACAGTAGAACTACTTTTACTTAATATGCGAGGCTTGTTTTATATGAAGTTCACAGCTCATATCATAACTTCAACCCCTTTACGGGCCAAGACAAAAATTTTTTTTTGCCCGTATATCAAATTTATTTGACGATTGAATAGTCAGTCGGTTATAGTTACCAAATTTTTGTGAACGGATAATAATAGCTGGTATCCGACGGATATAACCACCACTCCCAAGCATTCACCAACAGTTGCAAATATGACTTTTTAATTAAATCATTATTCAAACAAATATGGAATTTTGTTGGACCAGAAAGGCTTTACTATAGATTTCAAGAGAGTTGGCAACATTTGATCCGCTAGTATTTTCAGATGACAAATAACCAAGCGATTCACAACTGATTTCTTGTCGACAACATCCAAATCAAATGGTGATCTCTTGGATTTTGGTTTACAGTTAATTAGTCTTTAAAGTAGTCTTTCTTTTTATTCTTCTACAAATTGTGTTTAAGTTTTGCTAAGTCCAGGTACGACCAGACATGTAATTACTGCTAAAGAGCCTGTTTTATTGATTGACATAAACGCGTGTAACTATAACACAATTTTAATGTGTGACCTTTATAAAAATGTTTTTTTAACTTTAAAAAAAACCCAAAAATTTTTAACTGCATTTCCATCTTTACTCTTTTTCTTTTCGCCAAAGAAAAAGTTTTTATTACTTTGTTTTTATTTTATTGAAGAAAAGAAAGATGGGAAATGTAAGTTATTAAAGGTGTCTTGGATTTTTGTTACTCTTGAATGTTTGATCTCGAATTTCTGGAATAAATATCTTTTTTTTTATCTGTTAAACATAATTCTTGTATAATAAATTTAAAAATAATATTTTTCAATTGATTATTAACTACAGGGCCAAAAAGCTCAACATAAAAGAGAAAGAAATCAAAAAACAAATGGAGCAAAAAATACAAGCAGTCAATTGAAGGCTGTAAGTTTTAAATATTTATTAATACTTTATTAAATATCGAATATATTGATTGATTTATTTATTGATTGATTGAATTAATTTAGAACGAAGCCGCAAGAACTGTAATTTGTCAAGTTTGTCGTAATACTTTTTTATGTACTATAAGAGCAAAAGCGTTAGTATTTAACCCAAAAATTTACAATTATTATATTTTATATGGTTTAATAATTCAATTATATTCTAGATTATCCGAACATGCAGACAATAAACATAGTAAAACGTTACAAGATTGCTTTCCTGGATTTGTTGAAATTCCAAAAAAATAATTTTATGAATGTTGTCACATGACACAAGATTATCACTTAATAATAATAATAAAATTTCTTTAATAATTAATAAATATAATAAACGATATAAATATAATAAAAATCATCTTTTATTATTATTGTCATTGTTAAATTATGGGTCATTTAATAACTGTTGCAACTTGTTCTTTAAATCAATGGGCGTTAGATTTTGAGGGTAATTTAGAACGTATACTTGAGAGTATCAGAATTGCAAAAGAACACGGTGCTAGATTACGTGTTGGACCTGAACTTGAAATAACGTAACAAATTTTTGCTAATAAATTTTTTTAAATAATTAATAAAAATGTTTGTTATATAATTTGTCTGATTTTATCTAAAAAAGTGGATATGGTTGTTATGATCACTTTCTCGAAGGTATTATTATTCATGACAAAGCTGTAAATTTAAAGATTGATAATTAATTAATCAACATTAATATTATCAACTATCATCATTAATATTGTTAGGAGATACGTACTTACATTCATGGGAAATTTTGGCAAAGATTTTAGTTCATGAATACTCACAAAATATATTACTTGATATTGGAATGTAAGTTTTTAATATCATTTCAACATTATTGTTTATTATAATTATTTTTATTATTAAATAAACAAATAAACATTATATACATTTACAGGCCAATAGTTCATAAAAACGTCAATTACAATTGTCGTGTGATAATTCTTGATGGAAAAATATTATTGATTAGGCCAAAACTATTCTTAGCTAACGATGGTAATTATCGCGAGATGCGTTATTTTACTGCTTGGTCACCAGTTGGACATGTCGAAAATCATTATTTACCCAGAATTATTAGAAAAATTACTGGACAGGTAAATATAGTTAATTAATGATTTTAAACATTAATTATATAAAAAAGTCTAAAAGGCAATCAATATATTTTAAATGGATTTTAAGGAAACAGTTCCAATTGGTGATGCTGTAATTTCTACTATAGATACTTGTGTTGGAATAGAATTATGTGAAGAGTTATTTACTCCTAATAGGTAATGATATTTATAAATGCATGTGTCTATATGTAATATAATATCGATTATTGTCTTTTATTAATTATATTTAATTAGTCCACATATTAATATGGGGTTAGATGGCGTAGAAATATTTACAAACAGTAGTGGTAGTCATCATGAATTGCGCAAATTATATACAAGGATTGATTTAATTAAGGGTGCAACTTTAAAGGTATATTGGTACATAGTTAATAGTTGGTTTACACTCAAATACATAAATAATATTGATTCTAATTGCACATATACATTTTGGTGATATTAAAAAAAAAGAATGGTGGAATCTATTTATATGCTAATCAACAAGGTTGTGATGGTGATCGTTTATATTATGATGGATGTGCTTTAATAGCTGTAAATGGTAAAATAGTTGCTCAAGGGTCTCAATTTTCACTTAAAGATGTGGAAGTCTTGACAGCAACAATTGATGTTGAAGATGTTAGATCTCATCGTGGATCAAACATTAGTAGAAGTTGTCAAGCAGTCAACACAATTACTTATACTCGCATAGAAGCTCCAATAGAATTATCTGAACCGGAATTAAATATTAAATCAAAAATCAAACCAACAAAGCCGATCAAAGAATTTTATCATACAGCTGAGCAAGAAATTGCGTGGGTTTAAAAAAAATTTATTTTGAAGAAAAAAATAACAAGTAATAATAAACTTATTGTGTGATTGTTATTCAAATAGGTTAGGTCCAGCTTGTTGGCTTTGGGATTATTTACGTAGATCAAAAACAAATGGTTATTTTCTGCCTCTTAGTGGTGGAATTGATAGTTGTGCTACAGCAATTATTGTTTATTCAATGTGTCGGCTTGTCGTTGAGGCTGCTTCGAATGGAAGTATGTATTGTTATATATGTTATATGTATTGAATGTATCCATAAAATTTTATTTATTGATAAATTAATAATATCTTTATAGATAAAAAGGTTATCAGTGATGTCAGAAGAATTGTTGGTGAAGAATTGGATTCTAATTATATTCCAACTGATCCAAGAGAATTATCAAAGTAAAACAATGGAATTTAAAATTTATATATAATAATAATAATGATTATCATCATTTATATATATATATAATGAATAATATAGTCGAATATTTCATACAAGTTATATGGGTACCGAGAATTCAAGTGAAGAGACAAGAAAACGCGCTAAAAATTTAGCAGATTCTATAGGCAGGTAAATCAAAAACCATCTTTTAAATTTTTAATTTATTAAAACAAAATTTTTTATTTGCTTATTATTTATTTTTATCATTAATAGTTATCATTTAAACTTCAATATTGATACAATTATAACTTGTATATTAACATTATTTACAATGGTAACTAATAAAACACCAAAGTTTCGTGTATATGGTGGAAGCAATGTTGAAAATCTTGCTTTGCAAAATATTCAAGTAATTTAAAAAAATTTTCTTGTATCTATTCAAAAAATTTCATTTTAGTGTTATTTTAAAAATATATATAAATGTAAATTAAGGCAAGATTAAGAATGGTATTATCATATTTATTTGCACAATTATTACCATGGGTAAGAAACCTTACTGGCTCTTTGTTGGTGCTTGGTTGTTCCAATGTTGACGAATGGTAATTATCATTGTTATTACTATCATATCTATCATATCCATTATTGTTGTTTTATTTTTTGTAGTTATCATTAAATCCTATATTAATTACTACATAATCATAATCATTATTATTAAATCTAGCTTAAGAGGTTACCTAACAAAATATGATTGTTCGAGTGCTGACATTAATCCAATTGGGGCAATAAGTAAAATTGATTTAAGAAAATTTATAGAATATGCAAGAAATGAATTTGGGCTTTCTATATTGGACGAGTTGAGTAGTAATCATGAACCATATTTGATTATAATAATGTATGATATTTAAGTCAGTGAAAATTTTTACTGAATATAAAATTATTATCTTACATATTATTTTGTAGATTTCTTAATGCCGTACCAACAGCAGAACTTGAACCAATAACTAGTGATTATGTACAATCTGATGAAGTAAATATGGTTTATATAATGACAATGAAGATTTTTTTTTTTAAAAGGATAACCAAATTGATGTCGTAATATAGGCCGATATGGGGATGTCATATGCAGAATTATCTGTCTTTGGTAGATTACGTAAATTAAATCGATGTGGTCCTTTCTCAATGTTTACAAAATTAGTTCATGAATGGAGCTCAGAATTATCACCAACAGAAGTAAAAAAAAAAAATTTAAAACAGTCATCTTTAAAAATCTTTTCATTAATCAATCAATCAATTCAATTATTTTTTTTCATTATTATATAATAGATATCAAAAAAAGTGAAAAAATTCTACTATTATTATTCGTTAAATCGTCATAAAATGACTACGATAACACCTTCTTATCATGCAGAATCTTATAGTGTCGATGATAATAGATTTGATCTGAGACCTTTTCTTTATGATACAGGATGGTCTTGGCAATTTAAAAAAATTGATGATTTTGTTAAAGAATCGGAAGAAAAAAATTAGCAAAAATATATTATTATAATTTTGCTATTTGTCGTTTACTCTTATTCTTTATAAAATAATAAACAAGACTAAGTTTTATTATCGAGGCAATTCAACTAAAAATAAAAAAGTTTTAATTACACGGTTTGTATGTATATGCGAGTTTTTATAAAAACCTCTTATTCGTTATTGTTATTATTATTAGTATAACGATAACGATTGAATGATTGTTAAATATACTTGATGAATGTTTTATCAATTATTCAATAGATGTACTATGAGCAGGTGGATGCCTATTTGATGTAAAAATGAAAGTATTAATATTTTTCAAAATTCAGAAAAAAAACGCGCTCTATCTCATTAAATATTTGATCGGATTGAGTGATCTTAGAATTCAAAAGAAAGCTGAATTATATTCAATATTATTCAGCATTGAAATTTTTAATAATAATATTTTATCTTTTGTTGCTTGCTTATATTATCTAATTATTCTAATCATTTATGTAGGAATAAAAAACTTATTTTTTACTATGCAAATATTTATAATAACGTAATTATTTGGACATTTATTTCTACCTTTACTTGCAATTCAGATTATTTTCGGCTTTATTAACAATCTATGCCGAAAAAAAATTTTGAAGTAAACATATATTATAAAGAAACAATTCCTCGATTTTGGTGGTGATTTGAAGTCATTCAATCGTAATTATTATTAACGCGTTCCTTTAGATTTTTTTAATTTATTCATACATTATTGAAATATACAATTTTAATCGAATGTTTGTTTGCAATTAAAAAAATTGATAGATAGATATTTCTTTAAACTAATAACAATTCCCTGACCCATTCATTACCTTTTTGTGTTGCTTTTCAGGATTTTGTAAAGCAGTCCTACTAGAGTAATTGCACGGTATAAGTTCATTTATAAGTACTACAACCTGACTTTGTGGTTACCTATTCATATTTGTTTTTCATCATATCTTGCGTTAATCAATACAAATAAAAAATATTTAGCCTTTATCTTTGTCAAATATTATTAAATAAGTATATAGACATTAAGGTGGAGAACCAAACAAATGATTAGGAGAAGACATCTTGGCATTCCTTGGATTTCACAATGAGGTTTTTGGCAAAATTCTTTCCTCCAAACTTCTACTACTTGAAAGATGCTATTACGGTGGTGCAAGTTTTACATCAAATTAATTTCCGGATGCTAATAATGCCAATAATTTCTCTAATCAATAATTAATCGTTCGTTGGCTAGTTGGCCATCAGTCTGATCATAATTTTGATATGTAGATCATTACGTGGGTTATATTTCTTTTGCGAATAGAAGAAAAAACAATGCTTAGATTGCCATTTACAAAATTATTACATCATCCTAAAAGAGATTTGTTGATACTTGTATTTGGAGGAAATTTTCAAGCTATAGATACAAGGTTGAATAATAATTTTTGTTTTATAATTATCAATAAATAACTTTACCAATTATTTCTACATGTATATATAGTACAGGAGTGATAATATCTACTACACATCCATTATTCTCTAACAATGAGATGCGACCTAAATTCATAATACCTAATACTGATGCACATGAAACTTTAATTAGAGCAATTGAATTTTATCAAAAATCAGCAGATGATGATGATGCTAATGATGAATCTTTAATGGCTTCAAGCGGTGAAGATAAATTATTGAAAGTTTGGAGTATTGACAATTGGAGGTTGATAAATTCGAGGCATGTTATTTAGACAAATATTTTTAGATTATAAATAATTGAATGAAAGATCTAATTGAATTGAATTGAAATATGATATGATCTTATGTTATATAGACCCGTGCCTAAACGTGTGGTCTCAATTGCATTCAATTCCCAAGGATCACAAATCATTACGGCAGACAAATTTGGAGACGTTTACAGGTAGTTAAAAAATAAATTAGATAAGTTATTAGTGTTGGAAGGAAAATTATAATTAATTGATTGATTTTTTTCTTTTGCAAGATATCCAATAAACGCATCAAATGACAATCAGAATGCTGTAGATTTATTGTTAGGTCATGTCTCAATGGTCACTGATATGGTAAAAAATATATACTTGTAATATTAATAGATTATTTGTGTTTGAGTGAAAGGGAAGAACTTGATAAATTTTTTTTATTTTTATTTAGATTTTAACTCCTAATAATAAATTTATTATAACGGCTGACCGTGATGAACACATAAGAGTCAGTAGATTTCCAAAAGGTCATAATATAGAATCATACTGTTTAGGCCATACACAGTAAGCATATACAATTAAGAAATTGTAATGATGTACTTAATTAGTTGTTTCAAATCAATTAAAGGTATTTTTGTTTGTTTTTTTTTTGCAGATTTTTATCAAAATTGCATATATTACCTTGGTCAACTGATTTTTTGTTGTCAGCAGGTGGTGATGATTATATTTTTTTATGGGAATATGTTTCAGGAAAATTGTTACAATCTTTAAACGTTAAAAGTATTATTGAAAATCAAGTAATAATTATTATTTTTGTTGTTATTGTTGTTTTTATTATTTTTGTTGCTGTTTACAATGTATTAATTATTTATTGATGATTCTTAATTATTGATATTTTTTAATCTTTATAGATTAAAGAACAAAACGAAAAAAAATTATTAACTTCAGAGTACAATAATAATGAATTTGCTGTGACCACAATCACAAGCAGTTCAATTTCAAAACACATCGCTTTGGTTATAGAAAAATTTCCTGGAGTAGTAATCTTGAATTGGAATGAGACCAATCAATCTATTGAGTTTAAAACAATTTTATATTCAAGTATTGATCCACTTGATATTGCGTACGATCTTCGAGGAAACTTGTGGGTTTCGAATTCATTATTAAGTGATGACGACGATAAAGATGATAAAGAATTAATAACTTTATTTATAAGAAATGAGGATAATGATCGGTATGAAAAAAGTTCTAGTGACCATCCTTTATTAATTCAAATTAACAAGTATGGGTCTGTTCAAGGTAAATAGATTAATCATTAATGGGGACAATAATAAGAATAACATTATAATTATTCATTAATTAAAAATATATTGTAAGTAGTTGATAAAATTCCAGATTTGTATCCAATTGGCCAACTTCGTAAAAATCCTGTTGATTGGAAAGAACAAAAAAGTAAAGGAAAAGGCAAAGAAGAAGAAAACGATGAAGTTGAAAGCAATGAAGAATCACAAAATAATGATAATGCTGTTAATAAATCATCAATATCAAAAACTCAAGAAAAAAAGCCAAAAAGAAATGTTGAGAAAAAGAAAATCAAACTGAAATAATAAATATGATTTTTTTAATAGTTGTTTATTAACTCATTATTAATAAATTAAAAAAGTTTTTTGTTCCAACATTTGTTGTTTCATTGATCCTCTGGAACTTCAAAGAGTTCTAATTTTATCAATATAAAAAAATAATAAAAATCATTTATTAGTGTTGGTTTATTCACAAAAAAAAAATTTTTTTAAAGAGAAAAAATTTTTTTTCTTTCTCTCAGAAAATATTATGGTGCAATTATCTTTCAACATTGGGTTTCAGACGGTAATTCCAGCTATTGATAAATGCTTTGTTTCATCATCGAGTAGAAATTTTGTTAATAAAGAAAATAAAAACTTACTTTTTGTCGTTTTTTAAAAAGAACTAGGTTTAGAAATTTTTATAGATGATGTCGATCACGGCAAATAAAATTTTACTTTTTAATACGCCACTTATATTTGAGGCAGTTACGTTTAATAGCAATTTGATGTATTATATGGAGTAAGAATAAAATTTGGCAATATTAATATTAATATATCCAGTTATGCGAAAGCATAATCCTGGACATATTCTATGATTGGCCAATGGACCAGATCAAAACTTTTTTTTAAAAAATTTTAGTAATAATAATAATAATAATAATAATTGAAATAGGTGTTCACATACAGGGAAAGGACTAAACAATAATTTTGTTTTTTATTTTAACCAGGATATTATTATACTTAAAAGAATTACCAGATCAATTGCATGGAATGCATGTCTATCTAGTAAAATTTGGTTTAGAAGTGTGTTCAGCAGTGATACCGTTAATTAATACTAAATACATTATGAACTTCTTGGATATCTGCAACATTTGCTCTTGTTACTGATACAAGATATACACGACCCAATGAAGGTACATTTCTGAACGCATAATGCCTTTGGAGATCATCAACGATATTAAAATATTTTTGAAGAACATGAAGACCATCAGCACAAAAAAGAGATTCAGATAGAGTAGGTACAACTGCTGGAATAGCGAAACGTGGAGATAAAAACTGCCGAATGGATGTTGGATAATTAGCACAAATTCCTGTTGAAAAATTAAATTAGAAAAAACTTTACAAATAAAAATAATATTTTTTTTAAAATCATTTTTAAACATACTAGTAATTATAATATTTCTTTTTGATCCATTGTTGCAACAAACCACACTCATTCCATTCTACAACCATTACCAAAGGATCAAGATCATAATCTTCACGTTTTGCTTGGACCATTGAATAATTTCGTTGTTCGTTTTCCCACTAAAAGCGGAATACATCATTCTTTTTGGTCTATTGTGTTAGATATTTATGAATAAAATTCTTTTGACTTTTCTAATAAATAGAAATCATAGAAAACAACAATCATACCTGAAGGTCAACCAAGAGGAAGTTTCATATAAAGCCAAGAGAAGAAGAATGATGCAAATAATAGAAATAATGATGGACGAAAAAATAATTAAAAGGGACGAAAAAATAACAATAAGCAAAAAGAAAACAGTTGTAAAGAAATCAGCTATTGTTTCTTTCATCTTTACTTTTTTTTTGATTAAGAAATATATCATATATGGCTAATGACTAATGTTTCAATATTATAAGCTTTCCATAATTCAGTAACGTCACTGATCAGAATAATAGGATTGTCAATTTCTATTATATTTTAATATTAACCAATTCTCAAAACATGAGGTTCAACCTTTTAACAGGGTGTCTTGGTGGTTGGATGGTTATGTGTAATCCCAATTTTAATTAGTAGATTGGGTCATGGTTTACCGGTAAGAAGGTTTAGCTCAAATGATAAGGTTAAATCCTTGTTGTAGATCCTTGGATTGGCTGCAAAAATATTTTCGTTTTCCAAAAATTGATAAATGGTTGTGGTTATTTTTACATCACCATATCATGTGAATTCCCATTTATATCTATTTGGCAACCAAAAAATTATCTATTTTTATTCAAAACGTCAAGGTTGAGTGAAGCAGATACTTGGCTGAAAGGAAATCGTGTTTCGCTTTAGATGTTTTTGCGTGGTGTCTATCATTTGGTCTTTGTCTTGCTCTGACGTTTCGGACCGTTTGAAATGACCAAAAACTTATGGCCTCGCCTTGGAGCATTTACATCATTTCAAGCCAACGTAGCAAAAAAAAAGGAAAAAAACCAACTTATAACAAAGTTTTATCCTTTTGATTTTGATCTCACTCTTCCCTAACAATTCGGTTTACTAAAGTTTAACAACAAAATGTTTAGAAAATTTGTGATTCGTTACCGTAACCGCCCCGGATTTACCGTCTCAAGTCTTTAACGAGTCTTCCTTATAACAGAATGTTTCCCGTGCATTCAAATTTGGGTAAAAAAAAAAAGAATATTACACAAAAATTACGACATTTCGAAAGGAACTGTACGTAACACGGCAACCTTTCCAAGTCGAATTTTATATATTATATTTTTATATAATGTCATATGTTAAACTATTATCATCGTTATCACAAGAAAGAGAGGATTTTGTAGATAAAATTTACGGTGAAATACTTAATAACTCTAGTGTCAATTCTGAAAGAGAAAATAGAAAAGATTATTTTTGTTCATTAGTCAAAAAAAAACAGGGAGCTTTCTGAAAACGAAAAAGAATTTTGTAAGGAAAGGTTTATTTATAATTTTGAATTAAAAAATACAAGAGATAAATTGGGCCAACCAAAAGAATGTAACAAGTGTAAATTGGCAAAATACTCTGATAGATTCTGTGAAGGTTGTATCAGTTTACAATTACAGAGTCTTTTCACCACTTGGACATCTGGAAATAACATAATTGATGATTTTATTCAACAATCTCAAATGAATCATCTCTGCCAGACCATATTTTAGAATGGATACCTTTTGAGCAATTTTATGATATAACAAAGTTGACAGAAGGTGGATTTAGTTCAATTTATACTGCTAAATGGTCAAGAGGAACTATTGTTGATTATGACGAAAACAAAAAGGAATTTAGTTATTTTGACAACTGCTGGAATAGCGAAACGTGGAGATAAAAACTGCCGAATGGATGTTGGATAATTAGCACAAATTCCTGTTGAAAAATTAAATTAGAAAAAACTTTACAAATAAAAATAATATTTTTTTTAAAATCATTTTTAAACATACTAGTAATTATAATATTTCTTTTTGATCCATTGTTGCAACAAACCACACTCATTCCATTCTACAACCATTACCAAAGGATCAAGATCATAATCTTCACGTTTTGCTTGGACCATTGAATAATTTCGTTGTTCGTTTTCCCACTAAAAGCGGAATACATCATTCTTTTTGGTCTATTGTGTTAGATATTTATGAATAAAATTCTTTTGACTTTTCTAATAAATAGAAATCATAGAAAACAACAATCATACCTGAAGGTCAACCAAGAGGAAGTTTCATATAAAGCCAAGAGAAGAAGAATGATGCAAATAATAGAAATAATGATGGACGAAAAAATAATTAAAAGGGACGAAAAAATAACAATAAGCAAAAAGAAAACAGTTGTAAAGAAATCAGCTATTGTTTCTTTCATCTTTACTTTTTTTTTGATTAAGAAATATATCATATATGGCTAATGACTAATGTTTCAATATTATAAGCTTTCCATAATTCAGTAACGTCACTGATCAGAATAATAGGATTGTCAATTTCTATTATATTTTAATATTAACCAATTCTCAAAACATGAGGTTCAACCTTTTAACAGGGTGTCTTGGTGGTTGGATGGTTATGTGTAATCCCAATTTTAATTAGTAGATTGGGTCATGGTTTACCGGTAAGAAGGTTTAGCTCAAATGATAAGGTTAAATCCTTGTTGTAGATCCTTGGATTGGCTGCAAAAATATTTTCGTTTTCCAAAAATTGATAAATGGTTGTGGTTATTTTTACATCACCATATCATGTGAATTCCCATTTATATCTATTTGGCAACCAAAAAATTATCTATTTTTATTCAAAACGTCAAGGTTGAGTGAAGCAGATACTTGGCTGAAAGGAAATCGTGTTTCGCTTTAGATGTTTTTGCGTGGTGTCTATCATTTGGTCTTTGTCTTGCTCTGACGTTTCGGACCGTTTGAAATGACCAAAAACTTATGGCCTCGCCTTGGAGCATTTACATCATTTCAAGCCAACGTAGCAAAAAAAAAGGAAAAAAACCAACTTATAACAAAGTTTTATCCTTTTGATTTTGATCTCACTCTTCCCTAACAATTCGGTTTACTAAAGTTTAACAACAAAATGTTTAGAAAATTTGTGATTCGTTACCGTAACCGCCCCGGATTTACCGTCTCAAGTCTTTAACGAGTCTTCCTTATAACAGAATGTTTCCCGTGCATTCAAATTTGGGTAAAAAAAAAAAGAATATTACACAAAAATTACGACATTTCGAAAGGAACTGTACGTAACACGGCAACCTTTCCAAGTCGAATTTTATATATTATATTTTTATATAATGTCATATGTTAAACTATTATCATCGTTATCACAAGAAAGAGAGGATTTTGTAGATAAAATTTACGGTGAAATACTTAATAACTCTAGTGTCAATTCTGAAAGAGAAAATAGAAAAGATTATTTTTGTTCATTAGTCAAAAAAAAACAGGGAGCTTTCTGAAAACGAAAAAGAATTTTGTAAGGAAAGGTTTATTTATAATTTTGAATTAAAAAATACAAGAGATAAATTGGGCCAACCAAAAGAATGTAACAAGTGTAAATTGGCAAAATACTCTGATAGATTCTGTGAAGGTTGTATCAGTTTACAATTACAGAGTCTTTTCACCACTTGGACATCTGGAAATAACATAATTGATGATTTTATTCAACAATCTCAAATGAATCATCTCTGCCAGACCATATTTTAGAATGGATACCTTTTGAGCAATTTTATGATATAACAAAGTTGACAGAAGGTGGATTTAGTTCGGTTTTTACTGCGGAATGGATAAGGGGAAGTATTAATGACTACAACGAAAATACAGAGGAATTTAGTTATTTTGGAGCACAATATGTAGTATTAAAAAGTTTAAATGATTCAAGTAATCCAGGAAAAGGCTTTTTTGATGAGGTTGGTAGTTGTCATTTAAAACAACACTGTATTATTTAATACTAATTGGTTTTATATTTATTTCAGGCAATAAATTATTGTAAAATTAAATCGGGGTTGATTATTCCTTGTTATGGTATAACTAAATTCCCAGATAATGGAAATTATGCAATTGTTTTAAATTATGCTCCAGAGGGAAATTTAAAGGGTTATTTACAAAAAAGTCATTTAAATTTAACATTAAAAGACAGAATTGCAATCTTTTATTATTTATGTTGGGCATTAGATGTTATACATCAGAAGGATTTAATCCATAGTGATTTACATAGTGGTAATATACTTGTGGCAGCAGGTGGTTGTTATATTACAGATTTAGGATTATGTGGACCAGTTGATGAAAAGTCTTCAAATAAAGTCTATGGAATTTTATCATATGTTGCACCCGAGCTACTTAGAGGCAATAACACAAAGAACACCAAAGTAACTGATATCTATAGTGTTGGAATGTTAATGTGGGAAATATTTGCAGGCCATCCACCATTTGATGATAGAGCTCACAATCATCGTTTGATTTTTGATATATGTGCAGAAGGTTTACGACCACCAATATTACCTGAAATGCTTAAAGATTATGCACAAATGATGCAGAGGTGTTGGGATGTGGATCCATCAAAAAGACCAACTAGTAGAGAACTTTATTATTTTGGTGATAATAAACTAGAAGAAATTATTAATGATGATGATAGTAATAATAATACTAGTGGCGGTGATAGTGGTAGTGCTTCGCACACAAATCACATCCAAACGCATATCATAAAAATAGAATATTAGATGAAGAGATTGCTAAATCTAAAAGCTTAAAAATTTATACAAGTAATAGTTCGTTAAATGATATTGATTGTGACTCTTTTCTCTAAATGTTAACAAAGGTGAATAAAATTTTTATTATTAATTAATTGGAGATTACTACCCGTTACTAACAATATTTTTTAATTAATTATAGTCTAGTAATAATAGTAAATTTAAATTTAATCTCCACTATAAATTTATTCATTATAATTATTTATCTTTTTATTTTATCCTTATTTTAATTTCTTATCATGTAACAATATTTTGAATAATAATAAACTTCTTACAGTTTTCTGATTCTTGCTAAATGGCGATATTGCAAGGTATCATTTCGGTTAATTAATAATTATGGCTTGACTTTTGGGCCACTCTTAAATTGCTTTGCAAATAAAATCAAAGCGAGTTTGCAATCAGCCAATAAATGAATGTAAATGTCCGAAATAAATTGATCACAAGTGAATAAAAAGAATTTTATAGCCTTGTAAAAGGCCATCTATTTACAGTACAGTTATCTGGTACTATTAAGTTGCTTTCAGATTCGTCGAGATCCAAGAAAGAGACAGTAACCGAGAACTAATGTAAATTTATAAACTAATTAATTGACAAACACCAATTGTTGTGAGTTGATTGCTATTAACTAACTTGTTTAACAGACTTACGCTTACGACTACAATAATAATACCAGTATTTTCTAATTAACCTTGGACAATACTTAGTTAGCATTCACTTGTTAGACCTAACCTCTCTTGCTACTAAAGCAATAAACGTGGCTTTTTACCAAAGCTCCACAATTGTTACTTTTTACCAAGGCACTAACTGCACTTGTTGCTTTTTATCAAAGCACATTAAATAAAGAAAATAAAGACAATATTTTTATTTATTTTATTTTTGAAATTTATAAACGATTAATTTTATTTAATAAAAATAATGATTCTATCACAGAGTTTTATTTGGTTAGAATGTTAATTGTCTATTATTTTCCTCTGCTTTTTTCAAGCAAGAACCCGAAGTTATGCTTTTTCAAGCAAAGACCAGAAGTTATTCTTAATGATCACTATAACTAATAATAGATAAAGATGGGATGATTATTTGTAAAGTAACTTAATCAATCAATATTGATATTATAAAAACTTCCATAGCTTTTGCGTAAAATTTCATTTGATAATTATATATTAAAAATAGTTGACCCTGGCAAAGTACCAAATCCCTAACCGATGATCCCGATCATGTACCACGTTTATTAATCTTCGAGTATAGTAGTAAATGAGTGTGTGAAAACTGAATTTGTATTCAGCAAAAGAAAAATTTAGCTCCTTGGAAAACAAAAGAAGAGATTGGGATATACAAGAAAAATATAAAAAAAAAGACCTTGAATACATATTTATAAGTTTTTTTTGTGAATTTTTATATTTTATAGCAATTTTATTTGCGTCATATGGCAGCGAATTTGACGTGATAGCTTTACAACTTTGTTAACATTTCGTCAAACAACATTAGTGCCAGTACCAAAGACGTGTATTAACAAACATAGAAAGCATCGTGCTCAAGTGAAGCCAAACTGGTAGTATAACGCGTAATTAGGAAAATGCACACGATAATTCATCATTGTGTTATACTGCAGAATAATTTACTCAAAATGAACTTTATGATAAAGATTGTAGGGCACGTATTAGTCTCCAGTCGATCCAATTAAGTCTACTAGTGACTAGCACCACTATCACTTTAGAACAAGACAATGGTTTGTCTCTGGACATTGCAAATCAAATGTCATTCAATATAAACGTTACACGAATAAAATTATTATCGTCTCTAAAAAAAAAATCTCTGTTTTTCATATAGCAAGCAATTTTCAACCATGATAAAAATCTTAGAGCCAGACTAGACTTTCTAACAACAGTTAAAAGAAAAGGTTAGCTTAAATATTGGTTATTATATGCTAGGTCAGAAGCGTTTCTTTTCTTCACACTTATTTTAAGATTTTCTTCCAACTAGTATGCAGACTAAAACAAATT